GGCGGAGTCCCGGGGCGGGGACGGGGCCACGGAGCCGCCGAGGAAAAGGCAGCGCGGACTCAGCATCCTCAGCCCCTGGTACCGCGCAGGCAGGAGAGCGCCCGGTTCCGAGGTGCGATTCCGCCGGCAGCAGAGACACAGCCTTCCCTCCGCCCCCCCGCGAAGTGTATTTACGCAGCGCCAGAAACCCCCCTTTCCAGGGGAAAAAAAACAACCCACACACAGCACCAGACCACCACCCAGAGTCCACATTGCTTTTATAATTATTTCTCCGTTGTTACAACAAACCAGAAATACAAGATTCCATTGAAACTGGAACAGTTCACAGAATGGCTGAACTTAAACTTGAGGAACAGACCCCTTCCCGAACCCATGGGGTAAGTGCAGGCAGTTGGTCTGAGCGAAGGACGCAGTTTTGGTTACACCGAAAGGTAACAGATGAATTTTGGACCCCATGTTTTAGAAGAGACAGTTCTACCACGCTTTGCCATCACAGCTGGAATTTTATGTTCCTGCTTCCAATTCCTTTAAATAAACATTTGTTTTCTTGCAGACACAGAAACTGCTGGTGCCATCTGTTCAAACACAACGCAAAAGGAATTCAAACTTTATCTAAAAACAAACAAAAAACCCCACAAACCAAGGAAGTTTTCAACCTGGGAAGTGCTAGGCATTAACAGAACGCCGGCTACCACGGGAAGAGGAAGGTTTGGTGTGAAAGAAGATTGGCACGCCTACAAGGAGCACAACTAAACCTGGCCTAACTGTTCGCCCTGCCGGGAGTATTTTTTTTGCTTCAGATGGGTTAAACTGAACTGCAGGCGTGAACTCAGCCCTTCAGTCACGCTTGGGGACACGGCCGATCCCAAAATGCAACCGCAGAGCTCAAGAGGCACATAAAGGTGCGATCCTGGCGCTGACCAGCGCTTCGCCTAACGCAGCATGGGCGGTGCTGCACGGGCACGGCGAGGCACCAGCGCTGATGCCAGCGCATCTGTCACATTGAGGGTTGGAGTACTCAGGGAAAGAAAGAACAAACATATAAAAAACAATCAAAAAAAAGGTTTCATACAACAAACAGTATCAAAACGTTAAAGGAACACACTAAAGCAATCTCTGGGTAGAACAGGGCTGCTCCCTATTCCTGCGGGTCCTTCCAGCATGAATCAGGGTTTCCATTTTTAGCTTATGGGCATCGACATAACACACTAACTTCAACACTAGTCTCTCGGAACGACCTTCAGTCGTTTGTTTCCGGGTCTGTCTGAGCCATGTAAGCATCCAGCTCAGCATCGAGGTGTCCTTTCGTTTTAGACATGTAAGCATCTAATTGGTTGTCCAGCTGCTCCTTGGTCAGCGCAGGCCGTGCCGATCCTCTTCCTCGTCCTCTGCCTCTGCCACGACCTCCAAAGCCGCCTCGTCCCCGGCCCACCATGCCGCGACCTTACAGTGAGACAAGATGACAGTTACACACTCCACCAGAGAGCGCCTCGGGGTTTGCCACGGCTGACGCTTCCCCCCCCCCCCCCCCAGGGGGCGCCTGGGGGTTTGCCCCGGCTGCCGCTGCCCTGGCAGAGCCTGGATGGCACAGCACGTTCAGCAGAGCTGCTTCAGCTCCTCCACAGGGCACCTACCCCTCACCCACCTCCAACTCCCGCAGTGGGTCGGTTTTGCCGCGCTGGGTTAGCTCCCCAGGCTGCTTCCATTTCAGTCCAGAAAGCCAGGCGGATATTTGATGCGCGACTAAGAGCTCTTAGCTCAGACCCTCATCTCCCCGGTTTGTGGTCCAATCCCACCTACACGTTGCATACTTCTCTCCCGTGGAGCGTACCCTGAGATCCTGCACACCTCTGGGCCAGGCTGAAGCTTTTGGCAATGCCATTAACCACTACAAGCAAATTTTTCCTACACGGTACTTCAAATTGAGAGGTTTTCAGACTACTTCAGAAGTAGGACACCCAAAAGCCCACCTCCATCAGTATTTGTCAGGCTAAGAAATAAAGCTAAAGCTACAAGCCAAGGCCGTGAAGAGATAGGCTGCTTCCTGATAACTGTCTGCTCTAACTCCTACAAACATTGGTCCAATCCCAAAGTAACAGGAGAGAGCACTTGGCCGATGTTCTAACCAAACATCTGCCTGAAACATTAACCATCTGACCATCAACAGCTGTCTCCTGTATTTCCTCTTGCACTCCTGCTTTACTGCTTCTCTGATTTGTTGTTGAAAATACAGAGTTCATTTACCCAAGACTTGATTCAGTTTCAGACTTTTGAATTTATTTTGCAGGGCTTTAGGCTTTCTTCTGTTAAATTTTTACCCTCGCTAATTATTTTAAGAGTCTCTTTGTTTACACAGACTCTGTATCATTTCCTTCTTAAGTGTGAGGAGACAGTGTAGTCTTCCTCAATATGCTGGAAGATTACTCGCCACCTCAACTACTGTTGCAAGCATCACCCAGCCAGTGATACCTGCAGGAGCAGACAACTTCCCTGACGGTCCCCACAACTCCTCTAGCAACACTGACACAGTCAAGGATCTTGGCGAGGTGTAAGGCCTGGCAAAATCTATCAGGAGCAAAAGCCTTAATTTAGCACTACGCTGTACACTGATTCAAGAACAGAGGGGTTTTGAGGCTGCATGTACTACACATGCCAGCCTTAAACAGGAAAAAGAATTAAAGCTTATTTATACTTATTCAGCAGCAGTGTGCTGCTCCTGAAGTTTGTGCACACTAACCTCTGCCACCGAGTCCTCCACGGCCCATGGCGCCTCTGCCTAGGCCACCTCTTCCAGGGCCACCGCGACCTCTAATGCCACCTCTTCTCAGCCCCATCCTGGGGGATATACCTCGTCCTCCACGAAGCAGGCTCTGACCTTCAACAGAGAAAGGGAATTCAAACCAGAAAGAAATGAGTTTTCAGACCGAGCAACAGAATCAGAGACACACCGTCAGGAAGACGGCATTACTGGCATAAAAGCAACTCCAGTTCAGCCACAGTACTGACCTCTGAGTGGGACTCCTCCTCTCAGCAGAGCTCTTGCTCCCCGGCCACCACGCATGGCTCCTCGTGGCAAGCCTCTCTGCCCCATAGACAGTCCTCTTCCTCCCATGGCTCCGCGAGCAAGGGGTCCCGCCGGCCGGCCTAATCGTGCCTGAATGTTACTTTTACCGAGGCGTTGCTTTAAGCTCTTCTGGAATAGAAGATTTTTAAGAAACAAGAAAATCATGCAGCAATCTCAGACTTGCAACACAAACAGCATAGCAATCACCTACCAATAAAAGTGGTGGGGTTTTTTCTGTTGTTTTTAAATAAAATAAGAGGGTCACCATCTCTCTGCAATGTATGATCAAGCTTCAAAGGAAGACAATCTGCTCTGTGAGGGATAATTTGTGAAGGTCAAACAGAGAACAAAGACCTTTCCTGGAAGCAAGTGTTTGTACAGAGACAAGAAAGTTTACAGATTTGGAACAATGCATTTTTCTCCATTTTTAGCAGTCCAAATCAAAGCAGACACTTAATCCACAAGGCAGCCCACTAATCCTTTCTGCTGGAAGGCGACAGTCCAAGCAAACCCCGGAGACAGAAAGCGATTACCCCTGCTGTGGCACAAGCCTAACCTACCTCTGCAGAGCAAGTGACCGCCTAAAATGTTATCCTCTCTCTTTTGCCCAGCCTGGCTGGCAGAAAGGAATGAGAACGCATGTGTATGTTCCACATCCAATTATTCGTTTATGTCACTTACCATCAGAGTTTAAGATAAGCTGCTGGACTTTGCACTGAAACAGCTTAAGAGCACTCACCCTTCTGCTCTACCTCAGAGCGGTAGCACCTGGGTCTGCTCCAGCTACTAAGTAAATGCACAGCTAGAACAAATGTTTTTACATTAAAAAAACCACAGCAGGTTTACGTAAACACTTGGGCACTCAGATGCAGAGGATGCAAAACACAAACCCGCAAATCTAGCAGCAGCAACGCTCTGCAGGAGTTTAGAGAAGCCCTTGCTCAAGCACAGGTGACCCATCACTGGGATCAATGCTCCCCAGCACTTCTTGACATACCACATCCAGAAGGATCAAAAAAACTCCTGGTGATACCAAGTATAGCACTTGTGAAAAGCCAATCCCCACGCCAACTGCCGAACTTCAAAGAGCAATCCAACATACACC